AGCAAATAAAACTGTTCATAAGAGTCACAGATATCTTAATGTCTATAATGGGAACGGTTATCACATATTACATTACTTGATGAAAAACATGTATCTATATTATGAAAAATATCCATTTCATTTCTGTTTATAATCATCGTCATCTAAGCACACTGTAAGATTGAAGATAGTTCAATTTCTGTTACTGAATCCCAGCATCATAGAATGGTTTGGGTTGGAAGGGACCTCAAAGATAATTTAGTTCCAACCTCTCTGCTGTGGGCAGTATCGCCAATTGCTAGATCAGGCTACCCAGTGCTCCATCCAGCCTAGCCTTGAACACTTCCAGGGACGGAGTATTCATAAACTCCGTGGGCAGTCTGTTTAGAGACAGGTGACAGATTGTTGAGCCTTAACATTACCCATATGAGAAACATATCTAAATTAGTTTATAAGATTCGGTTTGGAGACAGGTGACAGATTCTAGAACAGTAATATTATACACATTGGAAAAATATCCAAAATCATACATAAGCTAATAGCTGGGGCTGAAACTCTGATACCATGTCATATTATGACTGTGAAGAGGAAAGGGACCTGGTGGTGTTGGTTGATGCTTGGCTGAACATGAGCTGACAGTGTGCCCAGGTGTCCAAGAGGGCATGTGCCATCCTGGCCTGCATTAGAAATAGTGTGGCCAGCAGGAGCAGGGAGGTGATCCTCACCCCGTTCCCAGCATTGTGAGGCTGCACCTCAACTACTGTGCTCAGTTTTGGGCCCCGTACTTCAAGAAAGACATTGAGGCCCTGGAAAGTGTCCAGAGAAGGGCAACAAAACTGGTAAGGGGTCTGGAGCACAAATCATATGAGGAGCGGCTGAGGGAGCTGGGATTGTTTAGTCTGGAGAAGAGGAGGCTCAAGAGAGACCTCACTGCACTCTACAACTTCCTCAAGGGAGGCTGTGATAAGGAGAGGTTTGGCCTCTTCTCCCAGGCAACAAACAGGACCCAAAGAAATGGCCAGAAGTTGTGCCAGAGGAGATTTAGATAAGGAAAAACACTGAGAGAGGTCAGGCACTGGTATGGCCTGCCCGGGGAGGTGGTGGAGTCACCGTCCCTGGCCTTGTTCAAGAGGCATCTGGATGAGGAGCTATGAGATATGGTTTAGTAGCTTGAGGTAGTAATGGTTATGGGAGGACAGTTGAACTAGATGATCTTGTAGGTCCTTTCCAATCTTGTGATTCTATGATTCTACAAAATACACTCTCATGGATCATATCTGACTTTTTAACTTGCAGCTGGGTTTTTCACTACTAGAATGTGACTTAAAATTTTCATAACTCAGTAACTTATATATGGCCCTTCAAAAAAAAAAAAAAAAAAAGAAACATTTTACAATGCACTGCTTTAAATTTTTTACAGGGACATTTTTATTTTTTTATAATATTGCAGTTTAAACAGCACATAGATTTGCATCACTAAGTCACAGACAATGATTTTGTTGGCTTCAGTGGAAACATATTACAGTACAGAACAGTACTGTCACAAATGATGTTTCAAGCCTCCGATGCTAATCTAAGTGATGATTAAAGTGAGTTAATCTACATCTTTAGTTATTACTCTATCATTATAGAAAATCAAAGTCGGTCAATATGAAGAAAGGAAGTAAGTGTTACACTATGTATGTGCACAGCAGTTGAGGCAAACATTTATTTAAATAAAAAAATACAGAAAATGAATAAGGAAGGAAGAACATAATAATTCATCCAGAAATGTGATTCAATCTTCAGTACAAAAGAATAAATTATTTTTATACTTTGAAAAAGTTTTATATATATATAACTATGTATAACAGATATATATTTGCCATTGTTGCCATTGTGACTCTTCATGTTAGCCAGCAGTGGAAAACAGTACTCACATAAGCAACTGTTCAGTTTGAAATACTTTTGGTCCATACAGACTTGCAAATATTGATAAATTATTAAATAAACAAATGAATAAAGGAAGAAAGAAGCATAAATAGAAAGCTTTCAACTTAATTTTAAAATTAATATATATTCTATTTAATTCTCCAAATGCTTAAAACTATAGCACCTGAAAAGCTAACTGCCAGTTCACTAAACTACTCATGAGAACTTCAGCTGAGCTTACAAGCCCTTATTTATTAATTCAGTCTTGTTTAGATTTGAGAAAATAATGACAAGATTTGTTCATTTCTTCGGTATGAATATCCAGACCTGTTGCTGTACATATAGAGGTCCTGTTGATTACTTTTGTTCATAGGATATAGAAGAGCCCTCTTGGTTTTCTGTGTTTTTTTTTTTAGAATCTTTTCTTTGCATGTACTTTTTCAGTATGTGGATTGATTATATCCTGAGTTCTCAATCATGAGAAAAATGTTACTAGAGAATACAGAGCAGAAGGAAAAAAAATAGTACAAATCTCTTTCAGTCTGAGAGAGAAACAAGCATTAAAATTTAACACATACTCTATTCATCTTTTCTCTACTGAGGATCTTACCATGAGACAGATTTTTATTGAAAGCTAACTGAACAGCAGGTTGGAGTACAAAGTTATCTTGTTTGTCTTAGCCTTAGCTAAACTTGGCTTCTTTGCTAGTACTGAGGAGTAATAAAGCAACAACACAGAGGAAGAGCTTAATTTAAAGATGCTAGAATGATGAATGAGCAATTCATCCAAAGCTTCCTTTTGGTCGGGAGAACAGTCTTAGACCTGTGTGTGAACTACTCTCTGGGCAGCTGGATAATAGGTCAAGGGAATGTCATTCCCTTCCTCAGTTAGAAAAAGTACTTTCTGTACTTACAAGAGATAAGTTCCTTCCAGTGCAAGCAAGAGATGCCATACACATGAGTCAGCCTTCAGTGTCCAGGTGGTGCCATTACTCAGTTTTTGGATACTGTACTACAGCATATTCATACACTAGTTCAAACACTTCACAGTTGTGTGAAAAGGAAATGTCTTCTCACTTTTCCCTTTGAAATTTTAAATTAAAGACATTAAAACATGCACAATGACCCGTTTTTGAGCCAGAAACTACCCTATCAGATTAAATTTCTTTACCATTTTTTCTTGTGTTCCTAAAGCGCAAAAAAAAAACCCCAACAACAACCAAAAAAAACCAAAAAAAAACCAAAAAAAAACAAGGGAGGAAGGAAAAAAAAGCTTCAACTCCAGCTCTATCAGCTGTCTTCTTACATATACTTTATCTATCTTGAAAGGTAACACGAGGCTCTGAAGTAAGAGTTTAGAAAATTCATCACATAGAATTTTGTCATATGGTTCATAACCACTTTGATAAATAAAATTCAGAGGTTAACCATAATCTAAACTATTATTTACTTAACACTGGAGTGAAAGACTTAGCAGGTTGTCTCATTATTTATTTCTTAAAATTGAAAAACACAAGAAGATAGTGAAGAGTATTAGGCTGGATATTTATTATATTTTTGGAAACAACTACATTGTACTGCAATGTTAATGTAACATGTATTTGTGCGTATCCACTAATGCTTCCTCTTAACTGCGTATAACACTTCGGTGAGTTTAAAAAATTTGAGAGAGTAAAAAAGTCTTCTAATATATTTTTTGTTCCGTAGCTGGGAAGGAGCCTTGTGTCAGCTCATTGAATTTTTGGCAAGAGAGCTACCAATGGTAACATAAATTCTACAAATATATTCTAGTACTTTGCCAGGCAGAACTACTAAATATACTCAAATATGTTTTTCTTTCCTTGAATTCTGAAAAAGCTTTAGAACAGAAAAGAAGGAAGCAAAGAGAACAGAGTACAGTTTAATGTCCAAAATACAATAGCTATATTTTATTTCAAATTTCCTTGCTTGATTTCTGTACACTGCAAAATTGCATGTCCTGCACTTATGCACCAATAACAGTCCTTTGTTATAGCGTAGGGGATAATTAAGTCCATTGTAACACTATCTTCCACTGTTTCACAAAACCTTAATTATCATCTACTGAATAGTTAGTCTTCAATAAATAAGCTTTCAATAATCAGGTGATAATTATTTTGCCTACCATAGTGTATTTAGGAACATTATTCTTCTTAACTTCTCAACTTGGCAGAAGACATGCAGTGCTATACTTTTCTGCTGTCATTGTCCATTTCCATACTTCAAGACTGTGCTTGACAAGAATTACAACCTTACAAGCAGATATGTAAGTTTTCCAAACTGCAAACATCAGGTTCTGTCAGGTAACTCAAGGCAGCAATTCTCAAAAATGATGATCCATCTTTTCAGAGTCTATTCTGGAACCGGCTTATCCTTGCCGATCCATGTCCTCAGAGTCTATTCTGGAAACAGCTTATCCTTGCCAATAGTAGTTACTAGGAGGTAGCATCTTGAAGACACTCATGCTCTGAGGTAAAGATATGTATATGCATATAATCCTTTATTTGATTTGTTACTGTCTATGCCCAATGCAACCAACAGGAATAGGCTAAATTTTATACTGGATTAAATCCACTGAGTTTGAAACAGACTGGAGTTTGGCCCTTTGTTACTACTTAATGGGAAAATAAACATCCACACTTGAATTTATGAAAGGGAATGATAGGAAGGTTATACAAGTCAGTATCTTATTAGTGAAACAGAGACCCTTTCAATACTTATCTACTCAGAGAAATCTGAAACAGGTCAGAAATAACGAAAAGTCATTAACATCTGACAGCGGTGATGGCCTGAGTAAAATAACTTGATGTGCTCAGACCAGTATATAAAACATCAGAATAATTGGTGTTAATTTGCACCCTTGTTGGCAGACTTAGCACAGAGGCCAAAGATTGAATGGGCACGAAAATTAAACTATCATGTCAGCCATAAAGGTTCTTTCAGGTCAGAATTGAAGTGCATTAACAGGATACCATTGAGGAATTTCCACTGTCAGTGCTGTGACGGTAACTGCCCAGTGAGTAAGCCTAAGAGCTTTTTCTTAACCACATTCATTAATACGATGCATTCCCCAACATTACAAACACCAAGGATTTCCCTTCTGCTTCACTTATGTATTTATCTGAGAGAGAGAAAGAGAAATTATGTTTACATCATAAATATGATAGCAGCAGGAGCCAAAAAGGCCAACAGCTGACCTTCCTACCAAGTGTTGTAACATTAATGCAATTTGTAGAGAATCACTAATGTATTTTTGCAGCTGAGGAGCCATAAGCATTTGTACATGTGCATTGATGGCAGAAGAATTGACCATATTGATAATGAGCTTTATGTATGCTATGGCCCAGTATCTATTTCCTGTATAATGTTTTATTTCAGATAACCAATCTTATTGCAACACAATTTGCAGTCTTTTTTTTGGTCTATTGAAATCGATATTTACCATCAGACATGCCTTTTCCTTTAATTCCTGATTGCACGTGAGAATAAATTTTGCAATTAAATTGGAAAGGCATGGATATATTGAAAAGATGAATGCCTTCACATTGCCATCTGGCAGTAGGACTGGCTGAGGAAGGTAGGGAAAATTCTGCAGTTATGTGGCTTTGTTCTAAGAAGAAATTCAGAAATGGGGGAAAGGGTAAGTAACACCTCAAATGGTATTTACACAGAATGTGTTCACCACTTGTCAAATCTAGCAGATATCCAAGAGAAGTAAAATAAATCCTCTGGAGATTTAGTCAGAGGTTCAGACGTAGTTTTGTCTAAAAGGAAGCCAATACTGAGTGAGCTGCAGAGTTAAGTAATGCGGATGTGGCTTTCATGTGCAAATTTCTTTTGACTCAATGAAATAACAGTCCCAGAGTCTGGACTGATGTCCACACATCCACGCCTGCATATGAATGCAAATTTCTTCATTAAAGGCCAAGTCTCCATGCACCAACGAGCTCTACAGGACACTTGCAGTGATACAAGCTTTGTGTGCAGCTTTCTTGCTGTTTCTGTTTCCTGTCGGAAAATAAGTGGCATCTTACTTGTTGCTAAGCAATAAGAAAGGAGCGCAGTGTGGCAGGGGAAGTAAACTTTTCTTTTTGTTAGTTTATTCCTTTCACTATGGCAATTGATAACTCTTACATTTCTTTTTTTCTACGTTGACCTTGAATTTCATGAGTCATCTCAAAATAAGTCTAAATTTTGTTCAGCTTGCTTTCACGATACACTCATTGAATGCACATAGCAAGCAGTATAATCATAAGCACTAGCAATAAAAATGTCAATCATTTTCAGTTATGTACAGAAGTATATATTTTAGGAAATATTCAATGAAAACATAAAGAGTAGACATTCTCTATGTATATTGTTACCCAGCTAGCTTAGAGACTAGTACAGTGATGACAATTCCGAATCAGCACTCCAAGCTTTTGTTTTGCTCAAAAGACAGGCTCAGAAGTCTTTTTAATTATGCCACACGAGTAGAACACTTAAACTGATTGGGGTAAGAGCATATCCTGCAAAGATCCTTAGCAGTTCCTGAGCTAGAGATCTTTTTCAATGAAGTAGGAAAAGTGAATTTTTATTATGCCACAGAGTAATCAAATTGAAGTTAGTAAAAAAATTTGCATGGGCTGTCTTCCCCCAAAGAAAGTTTTATGCCCTGCTAACATGTTTTTAGACACTTAACACAATCAGTGAGCTGTGGACACCAAGTATATTGGTAGTTTATTCTAAATTTGTTTCAGAATTCTAGATTCAAAACAATGTCCACATTAGAATAGTTAAGTCTTCAAATCTATTCCTTTTCTGAACTGCAAAATTCATTGTATGTGCAGGGAGCAGTGCAGTGAAGCATAGACTGGGAACTAATTGCTCTTAAAACTCTTAAATACAGTGTGGCACTTTCCCATTGTGCAAAAGTTTAATTTTGGTCAGTGCTAAGAAACATTCCTCAGATCAGAATTTGTAGGTGAGTCCCAAGGATGATTCCCTGCTCTGGAAGCCCTCTACTGACCATTCAGAAACATTCACATAACTTTACTTGTCTGCCAGATGCAGAACGTTATCTCTGGATTTTTCTGTATGTGTTGTCTGGCTCCTTTTATAAAAAAAAAAAAAAGCATTGCTGTATCAGCCACAGCTTTTATACCTTTTGAATATGAGAAAAAGACCAGATACAATTTTTGACAAAAATACCTTTCCTTTAGAGACAATAAATAAATAAAAATCAAGAGAACTATCCATTAATATTTCCCTCTTATTGACATTCTCATGATTCTGCTCAGAAAAGAGCTACACCCAGAACAAGAAATTAAAATAGAACTTAATAGAATTTAAAATTAAACAAGGAAGATACTACAGCATGCCTTCAAAAATTTCTTGTTGCATCCCATGCAATTACAACACTAACAACTTCAATACACAGACGGATGTTTGAGGGCCATTAGGCACCAAGCATTTCCTCAAATGAATCAAAATTACACAATCACAATTCCCAAGTCATTTTGTTCTGATCCATCGTGAAGATTTATTAGTCTTTAACATCTCTCATTGTTTGCTTGTGACAGGAGCACTTCATGCTTGAAGGTGATCCGATACCTCTCTTCTCACAAATGCTATATACCCCATGCCATATGATAACTAGATACGGAGGCCAAGCAGCCAAGCACCAAACACCGAACATCAGGCACCAGCCCCTAGAAATACCCCTTGGGAATACAGGCCTCTAGCTGCTTTCCCACATCACATGATGAGCACACAACTTTTTTTTTTTTTTTATATTCCATTACCCTGATGTCCTTGTATTTGAGCATATGCTGTTGTCTGTCTTGGGCATAAATTCAAAGAGAGTGCCTGCAGGCTGTATTATCCTATAATCCATTGTATGTTCTGAAGAATCGGGCAATCCTATTGGCTCTTCAGATACCACAGTTTTAAGCTATCAAAATTGACCTCGTGTCATGTTTCTCTTCTGCTTTTTCCTGTTAAGACTGTCCTAGATCTTCAGGTTCAAGTGTGATTGAGTGCAGCCATATGCTTCTGTCACAAAAGGAGCAGATTTTCCTAGCTCAAATGCAGTATTGTGTAGGCCTTAGATATTTCTAGGCTGCACAAATTAAATTTTAAGATGTACTGTTCTACCCCTCACCTCCTGAGCTGAATTGAAAATTTTGTAGCTGGAAACACTTTTATGATATACGCAATAAAACTGTCCATCACTTAGACCTCTGGGCAATCATTTTCTCCAAATATACTATGCTCAGGAGACCAATTTCTGCTTCTAGGCATAGCTGCGAGAAAGAACTAACAAGCCAGAGCTTACTTCAGACATACATCTCCCTCCTATGAATCTTTTAGTCCACACAAACAGCAAACTGGAGCACCCATCCCCCTGCACCATGTTTATAGACAACAGTATCGGGGCCAAAGTAAATGTGCTCCCTTTTATCTCTGCCTCCTACCTGGTTGAGCCAGAAATGAGGACATGCCAAAGTCATGACCCTATCCACAGTTCGTTAAGTGTGGATATTTTCTATTCCCCCTCAATCTACTATCAAAATCTGGCCCTATATTATTAGGGAAAGATCTTTCCCATTTTTTAAACAGGGACTGGTCTTGTTCAATATCTTCACTGATAACCTTGACAAGGGGATAGTGCCCACCCTCAGTAAGTACACTGATGATGCAAAGCTGCGAGGGGTGGCTTAGGAACTGGAAGGCTGTGCTGATATTAAGCAAGACAGACTGGAGAGCTGGGCAACAATAAACCAGATGAGGTTTGGCAAAAGTAAGTGTAGACTTATACCTGGGAAGGAGTAACCATGAGTATCAATACAGGTTGGGGCATAAGCCACTGCAGTGGAGCTTTGTGGAGAAGGACCTGGGATTCCCGGTGGATGACAGCTTGGCAATGAACCAGCATTGTGCCCCAATGGCCGAGAAGGTCAATGGCATCCTGGCGTGCATTAAAAGGAGCATGGCCTGCAGGTCAAGAGAGGTGGTTCCCCCATCTACTCTGTCCAGGTCAGGCCTCACCTGGAGTACTGTATCCAGTTCTGGGCTACCTGGGACAAAAAAAAAAGACAAGGATCTCCTGGAGAGAGTCCAGTGGAGGACCACAAAGATGAAAAAGGGCCTGGAGCATCTCCCCTATGAGGAAAGGCTGAGCTAACTGGATTCGTTTAAAAGACAATTCAGAGGGGATCTGATTTTTTTTTTTTAAGTATCTTAAGTGTGAGAGTCAAGGAGACACAGCTAACCTCTTTTCAGCAGTCTGTGGGGACACAACAAGGGGAAACAGCCATAAACTGGAACATAGGAAGTTCTGCACCAATATGCAAAGAAACTTCTTCACAGTGATGGAGAACTGGAACAGGCTGCACAGAGAGGTTGTGGACTGTCCTTCTCTGGAGATATTCAATACCCACCTGGACGCCTACCTGTATAGCCTGCTGTAGGGAGCCTGCTTTGCAGGGGATCTGTGCTTGATGATCTCTGGAGGTCCCTTCCAGCCCCTACAACTCTGTGATTGTGACAAAATCACATGTAGTTGTGTCATTAAATATAGCATCATCATCCATATGAGGGAGCTTACTTCAGGATCCACAACTGAAGTAAAATTTGATATTTTCAGTTGTATTTTTTTGCATATGCATAAATATAATATGCATTTATATGCATATTTGTAAACTGCTAGAAGCAGTATCTACTGTAACTGAACTTCTAAGTTCTGCTTCTTTTGAGAAGAATAAGTAGTTTTTCTTCTATAGGTTCCTCCCTAGTAGCAGGAATTTTTCAGCCCAGCAAATGAATTAAGATCCCTGAGCCACATTTTAGAGTCTATATGTAAGATTTAATTTAAAAAATTCTTATTGAAGTTCTTTCCTAAAAGAAAAAAAAAGGGACACAAGAGTTCACCTCCAGTAGTATGCTAAGTCTTAAATTAAACTTATTAGTGGACATTTAAATTGTTTATTGAAGTAAGAAATTAAATGCAAAAAAAAGTCTAAAGGACTGAATTCTCATTTACAAAGAAACAAAAACCTTTAGAAAAAAAATATATAGGACCTGAGAGGAATGTTCCAATGTCAAGCATCCAGTGGCTTTTAGAGGACATGTATGTGAAGCACATTAGGGTAGACTTCTAATAAATAAATATGTACTTAACATCTGTCTATGTTCTTTTCCCATCATGTGATAAATAAGAGAAGTTTAGTCTGTGGAACTGCCATGATTACAGTTTTCTTGAGCAAAATTATTTTGAACCACCAATGCACTGCCTGACAGAGATATCTATAATGAATTTGGGCAACCAGAATCCAGGATACCTTGAGGGTGACTTGGCTGTAGGGACTGTAGAATAGGTAGCCCAGTTTCAAGCTGCCTCTGAGTTCTAAGGCAAATCAAGGCTTTAGAACTGGCAATAAGATAAATAGGAATGCTCCTTTCTTGATAGTAAATAGCAAAAGAAGATTACAAATCACAATTCTAAGAAAGCTTGGGAACATAACATTTTAATCCAGATGTTTCCCTTGGTTTATTTGAAATTCAGAGAAAGAACTATGAAGCTTTCTCAAACTACATGGAATCTAATGTGTCCAAAACAAAGGTAACAGTTTATTTCCTGTAACTATTAAACAAGGCAGTCATAAAGCGCTTCAGATGTCATTTCAACAAGTCCCTTTTACACTACCCATTTAAGGATATTGCATTCTGTGAAAAAATCATGCAGTTCTTGTTAAAGCTTACAGCTCATTATATTTTCTTTTGGGAGGTAGTTGCAGGATAACCTCTCCATCAGCTAAATGCGTCTTTAATATCCATACACAAGGATTTGCATTTGGCTCAGAGCATGCATCTCAACAGTACCTCTTGCTTAAAAAGAAATGCAGTTGCTTTCCACTTCTCATTCTGGGGACCAATATTTTACCATAATTTTATGAAAACTTCTGAAAAAGCTGCTGTGTATGGCAACTTCTCTGATGTTGTGAGAATGTAAGGATGCATATTTTGCAGCTGTGCTTTCAGTTCTGAAAAGTATATATGTTTATAATATACATTTTTATAAAACAAATACTTATGTGTACATGTATTTGTATAAACATATGTAAGTACACTTGTTACGCACTTATTATAACAATACCTTCTCAGCTTGAAAATGTGCATTTGTTATATTAATAAACTTAGTTTGTGCTTGCTCATTATGGAATAATGCTCACATAAGATTTGCTATTGGATTTCATAGCTTTTCTTTCAATTTCAAAACAGTTACTCACAATTGATAAAGAACAACATTACTGTATTTAAAAGAAAAACTATAAAATCATAAATATATGTTTTTCAAATAATATAGAAGCACATTGAGATTCTCCTGATAATTCATTTGCTCTGTAGTAGCCTTGAGGTACTGTGAAACTTTTTAAGTTATAATTTAATTTTGGATGGATCTTAAGTAAAGATCAAAAATATTTTAGTGTTCCAAAGCCTTCCTTGAAAGATTTATCAGAAAAAGGAAACCAGAAAGAGAAACTGTATTCAGTTTTTCTAAGCAGTGTGGAGCTCTATTCACTGTGATACAGTATTACAATTCATACATTAAATTATAGTTGCTGATTATAGAAATCTTATTGTTATATTTCTTTGAATATAGAATGATCTGTTACAAGTAATATTGAAAATAAAACTTGCAAGTATAAAATTTTTTCTTATTTCTAGCTTTGATGATTGCAAATTGTTTACAAAGAACAGAAAAGATTCATCCTGCCCTTTCTAAAAAGAAAAAACAAGGCTGACTTTTAACAGAAAGCATGTACACATCCAACAGCTTTTGGTTTAAAATTCTTAGAGCATGTATCTACATCCTGATCATTCAAAGTGCTATACAAATTGCAGTGGCTATCCAGCATCACTTAGCATTCATCTTAATTCCTTTAGCCACCATATAAATTGAATCCTTCTCCCATCCTACTGCACTAAATTCTTAAGTGTTTCTGCAATGCAGAGAAGCAATTACCTTGAAACTAGTTTGACTATACAATAGCTCTAATAAATGCAAAAGGAAAATGCGTTCATAGTTATTTCTTACACATTCATTGTGGAAGAAAGCAGCATGAGTAAATTGGCATTAACTTTCTGTGTAGCCTAATAACATCTACTTAAAGGAGCTGAGCTATAAACTTAAATTATTTTCAGCAACATATTTTGTAGGCATTATTAGTTTTCAGGAGCCAAACAGTTAAAACTTTCAGATTTTCATCGGATCGTATTTGTTGGCTATAGAAGAAAAGGTTATTATTGTCAATAAGCAGTTCATTAAAAGTTTACAGTTTCAAAACCTGATGCAGTAGTCAATACACTCAAATACATGAATGTGCAAGGTTATTTGAATGAATTGAGTTTATACTTTCAAATCAACTCTCAATGAGATATTTTGCTACATTCTAGATAGTCATTGATTAGCACTGCAAGTTTTGTCCAGCTCTCATGCAGCAGAATTGTCTAAAACAAACAGATAGAAACTACATGTTTTCTATTGCAGTAGTTAAGAATAACTTAGAGTTTTCTCTAACAGCAGTAGCTGCTTATGTTTATATATATTCAAAAGGTATTCTAAAAGGTGTTCCAAAAACAGAAAGAATCGTATTTACTCCATCAATATTTCAGAGTGACTTAGTGCAGTCACCTCCGCAAAGAGATGATGCAATGATTTAACAACACGCAGCATTTTTGTAACTGCTCTTCTTACACTTATTTTCTAGAAAAGAATATTACACAGAATTAAGTGTTCCTATGCCATAATGCTGAGTTAAGCAACACAGTATCATCACTGGCAAAGATTTTAAGGTGCCAGTCATAAAAAAATTTAAAAAAACTAAGAATAAAATAGCTGCAGAAATAGATCAAGAAAACTGAAAAGGATCACCCCTTTCCTATCCTAAAAGACACTGCATATCCCTTTACCTACTGAGGGCTGCATCTTTAATGGTGACATGAATTCCCCACCAAATGGACTGCCATTTTTACTCTGACTCAGAGGTGACATTGCATCATTATTGATGATGAGCTGTAATCAAGAGAAAAGTTACCTTCAGTCTTGTACAGGTTCAATAGGCCCTGACGGATTTGCCTACAGTTTTCTTCCTTTTTTGTGTAAGTACTTATGGAACCCAATTGGTGTGAACTTGCAATATTCCAATATTACAACCATTTTTTCCAATGCACTGATGGTGATATTCATCTCTGTACACTGATCTCTGGTCATAATCTGCCAATTGATGTGGATGAGATGATTGAGACATTTCTCATTTTGCAGTGTGATGCTATGCATAGAACATCAGGAATGTGTCTTGTCTTTCACGTACTTGTTGCCACCACTAACATGCACCACCCACCACCTCATTCTGCTCATATCTGCTGTTTGGTCTCCATAAACATTCTGTAAGCTTCAATGAATATCAATGTGTGCAAGTTATCCTACATGAAAGAATTCAGTGACACATCTTTGCTTCATATACACTTCCATGTCAGATGTCGTTCTGACCGCCTCTCTGCTGCTATATGTCACACAGAAATAATATGTAACAGAATATTGGTGGGAAAGTTCAACCTCTACAGCCATACCACAACACATCTGCCTTTGACACTGTGGGCCAACATCATAAAATAAGGCATTACTTTTGGACCAGCCCTAATATTATGAATACTGTAGAATATGCAGTACATATAGATTTTCTTTTCCACTTACAAAAAAAGTTTCATAGTGAACAGCAAGAACTATCAGTCATTTTATTTCCTTAGAAGTGAACCAGAATACCTATAAGTAAAGGAATGTGTTTTTTTGATTGAGAAACAACAATATTTTACTGGTTTTAATTACAAAACCTTTAGCAACTTCTCTCAAACTCTCCAGTGATACCTTAATATTTTGAAGGCCAAAAAATTTCCTTTATTCATTAAAATCTAAGAGCCATGTGGATAGACACATTCTCTAAATTTAAAGTGTGTAGCTAGTTTGACTCTCAGAGTAATGAGATACATTAAAGATTTCTTTAAATACTCTATT